AAGAATGCACTGTGATGGGTCAACACAGAAGCAGAACAAAAAGACTGCTCTTTGCCTTGTGCCAGATAATAAAAATTTTGACAGCTCCTGCATTAACATTTTTTTAACGTCTGAATTCTCAGTAATTTTTCAGATGCAAAACCAGTGTTCATCTGCCATTGTAAATTACACAAAGAGCAGCAATGAGGAAGTTTGCATGGTAGTCTAGAAACAACTGACTGACCCACAAGTTCTAGCGTTTGTCTGCAACTGTCCAGTTTCTGGTACTCTTAAAAGACAGGTTTAGTATTTTTTGGCTGGAATTGAGAGTGTACAAATTACAGTATTCAATCCAATTGAACTGAAATTTTTACTGTGGGAAGTCTCCTTTTCTAAAACACTTAAAAGATCACAGAAGCTGTGGCAGTATGGGTACCCCGTTAGGGCAATTGCAGAGTGTGTGTGTATACAGAGGTAGCAAGAGGTTTGTGTGAGGACATGATAGAAACAGGGTAAGAAGGTGGAAGAGAGCAGACCTTTAAGCCCACTGAGATTTTTTTTCAATGTCTATCAAGGTTATTCAAAGCCTTCATATATTTGGCATTTGCCTCTAAGTCATTACATTTGAACAATTTTGTTCAAGGCCAGAAAGCAAGTTCTCACACCAGAGCCTTCACAGAGAATACACAACCACTTCCTCTTCCCATTTATAAAATATAAAAATTTGTCTTAAGATGTTTTTGCTGACCTCAGCTGAGGCAGCACAGTCGAAGGAGCAACTGGCCTGTTGCCTTTGGGGTCAAACACCGTGAGACTGGTCTCTGCCTCCCTTCCCATCCCATCTGTTACACCACCACAAGTTGAGTAGATGGAATTACTTAACAGTTTCTGCCTGCATTACCCTCTGAGTTTCCACTCTCACCTTCATACAAACATTCCTGTTTCAGCCTCAGATTAATTCCTCCCATGTGCAGGAAGCTGCCCACTTCTCTTATCCTACCCTCCTCACCAAAGATCTGGCCCACAGTGACTACATCCATGGTTTTCCTGTTTATCACACCTTACCTGACAGTTACAGGTGCTGTTTATTGTAAAGTGATGTATTCACAATTATGCACTATTTAAAGCAATCCACCCCAGAAAAAACATTAAGACAAACATGGTACAACATTCCTCACCGATCTAGTGAGAGGGAAGGTAATGATAGAAATCAAATAATACATCCACAACTAGAGCAACACCAAACAATAAAAGGTTAAATTTAGCTTACTTCTGCAACTCTTAGCTTAATGCTGCAACTCTTACAATATGCCAGTATCTATTAAAATCCGTTCCATTCACCACTGTACAACAAATCAGAGCTTTATAACCCAAGCATGATTTTAAACAAAATTATTTACAGAGTATATTCAAAATCAGTTAGCTTTGACTTAAAGGCAAAATGTGCTGAAAACCTGTACATTAGTTTTCACATTTCCCTTTTCTATTAATACTTGCAGGCTTGTTTTGGGTGGGATTTTTAATTTTATTCAAAACTCTCTGGTGTCCTTTTTTGAAAATAAAATTAAAATCCATAGCCAAATAAGAACAAAAGACTCCAAAATATGTTAGTGTACTGCTGGCTAAATGACTAGGCCAGTTTTCTGGCTGGGCAACTCTTCAAGAATCATTTTCTCTACTGCATGAAAGAGTTATTTATCACAAAAGTCCATGCAATCAGAAGACAACGTGAGGAACTCATGCCAAAAAGAAAGGCAGCATCAAATCAAAGACTGGCCCTCAAAGCTTGTACCAGTTTTCAACCCATTCCTGCTTGGAGTGCTACAGCATTTCTTTAACAGGGAGTGTAAATCACCAGCCGCTGACATTTGGCTGCTCGCTTTTTCTCTTTCTTTTCCGCTCCGAATTTCCAAAGTCTGCAAGGTTTTATATACAAAGTCCGCACGTATTATATACAAATAACACCAGAGCATTGTGCTACGGCATCTTCTTGTTTGTGGGAGTCGTCTTCCAGCTGTAACATGTAACTTTTGGGATTTCCATTGGAGCCAAGCGAGCCGGGGAGGGAGCGGAGCTGAGCGACAATGGGAATATCCGGCTCTGCCTCCCGCTGGAAAAAACAGCAACCACAAAAGGGGAAGGGAAGACTCCTGGACGCTGTATGACAATTGTCCTGCTTCGGGGAGCTCAGGAAGAGGGAAGTCAGCCTAACAGCTCCACTGGTGATTTTTCTGAGCAAACCTTCCAAGCTATTTAGCGAGGCTGCGTCCCCTCCCGCCGTGCCTCCCTCAGCCGCGGCCAAGCCGCTGCAGCGCGGCGCTCCCGCCCCGGCTGACGGGACCGCGGCACCCGACCCGCCCGGAGCCCCCCGTGTCCCTCCGCACCTTTTGCTCAGAGGCCGGACCCGCACGGCTACCTTGACGCTGGCCATGGCTCGGCTCCCGCATCCCGGGCGGGACGGGGAGGAGCGGCGGGAGCGGAGCGCCCGGCCCGGCCCGGCCCGCCCCGCGGCGGAGGGCAGGGCAGCCCAGAGCCCGGCCCCGGCCGCCCCCGCGGGGGGAACGCACGGAAACTCCCCCGGGCAGAGAGCCGGCGTTTCGGGGAGAGCCTGCCCGGAACAGCCGTGCGCAGCTCTCCAGCATCCAAACCGCGCTGCTCCGCCTGAGACAGCTCTGCCCGGGAGAGCGGCACCCCCGGAGAAACCGACGGCGGTGCCGCGCTCCTCCTCAAATTCTCTTCTGCAGCAGCAAACCAGCGGGTTTTACCCAAGAGTTAATGCCGCCAGCACGATTAAGGGTGTTGCCCTTAAAGCATCACTAGGGACGAGCACTGTAAGCCCTCCACATTAATTTGACAGGAATTTAGGGAAGGCAAGTGTCCCTCCCTTATTAGTGCTAAAGGAAAGGTCTCAAGTGTTTTAGATTATTTTGGAAACGTCCAATCTTCATGTGGGTCGTACTTCGGATCTCAAAGAAAATTTTGAAACTTCCACAGAACTTTAATTGGAATCAGTATCTAATTGTTGCATTGATTGAAGTTTTGTACTTAGACTAATATAAAAATCACGGAAAGTTTTTAAAAAATTTCGTTTAGAATACTGTCGCTGTCAGCTACGTACGTTACAGGAAGATGTAAGAGCAAGTAGCATGGACATAAAGAAGATGTCAAGCTCAGTAGGCAAGTTCTGTTTGATTTTGACAATTCCATTTGCCAATGCAAATTTTTAAATGGACTTCTGGTTTTGTATTTGAAAATATGATAAACTGAGCTGTATCTGAATATCATATATGAGAGTTTTAGAGTCCTATGTTGTTTTTAAACAACTTCTGTTTAAACTTATTTTAACTGTTTTTTTGTACTTTACATACAGTTCTTCTCATGAGACAGTTTGCCTTAAACTCCAGAAATGTTATATCTAAATGAAAAAGGTACCACATTTCAGAAGTTTTCCCAAGTGATGAATGGCATAGATCCTTAGGACCCAATACTCCATTCACCACAGAAATGCTAAAATTAATACCTACAAGCTGTGAATCACTGTATACTTCAGTAGATTTATCCCTTTAAATTACACTAAAGAATTAATTGACATATCACTGGCAAATGGCTATTAGCTAAACTCTACCAGCTCCAGTCAACTCTCCAAAAGTAGATACAGTAAAAGAAGAAAATATGCTCAACTCTTTGAGAAATAGCTAAACTACATATTTCAAAGAGTTACAATGAACAGACTACAATGTTTTCACTGTGCTCTGAAATGATTAAATTACAACAGCTTTAATGTGCCTGATCTAAATCATCACTGTAAGACATGGAGAGTGAGAGGCTAAGCCTAGAACAGATGTAGAGGACTGACAAAAATCACAGAATCAACTAGGTTGGAAAAGACTCAGCTCATCGAGTCCAACCTACGATCACCTATTGTTCTGTTTTCTCCCATGTCACAGAATGTGCAAAGCATTTTCATTAAAAATGTCAGGCTCTCTGCAGTTGTGTGGAAGAGGACTTTGATTTCCACATCTGAAAAAAACAGTGACATGGGACTTTGGACTCAAATCCTGTAATGACATATAGCAAGTGTTGACACAAAGACCCCATTAATGCTTGTGGGACTCAAACACTAGTTTGTATTGTTAGATTTTGTCTAGTGACATTCTGCTTAAACCTAATTAAAATCACCCCTATCCTCTTAACTTTTCTCAGCAGCAGCAGAGGAACATCAGCTATAGCTTACACAGTATGCTAGAGAATTGTTAAATTGTTTTGCATTCACACTCTGCAGAATGGTTACAAAGATTAAAATGAGATTCTCAGAAAAGTTCAAATAGAAAATAGACCAAATACAAGTAAGTCATAATAGTGTGCTCAACAAAGAGCCAAAGATTCCTTCCTTAATTCTGCTTTAAGTTATATGCAATAATCAGATAAACTTGTGAACATTGTGGTACTGAGCCACCCAGTGGTTACTTTGAGAAAGAAAAATGCTCTTATTTCAGCAACAGAAATCGACAGGTGGATGTTCACATAACAAATGATACAACAGTAGAAAGGATCTGCACCACTTCAGTCTACTCCCTGTCCTGAATACAAAATTGGGCACCCTCCAAAGACAACTATCTTGGATTACAGATGTCCTGCCAGTAACATTGTACCAACCCCTCTCTTCATGAGGGCTACAAACTGGGACAATCAACAGTTTTGATAAACTGTCTTACTCATGGAACAAGAGTTTTATTCTAAGTGGGACACTGAAAATCAGGCAAACAACAGATAAAGAGAATCTGAAGAATATATTTATCACTACCATTGAAGCATGGTTTGCAAATAGTAGACCTGGCATATATTAGCAAGTCCATTTCCTGCTTTCACACAAAACCACATCTGTCATAATAAACTGTAATTTAAAACTAATTTAATTTCTTGATTGGAACTCCTATAGAAGCATAAGCTTGGACCTAAGACTTTGCTCTGTAATTTTAATGATAGGATTTTGTAACAAAATTAAAAGCAAAAAACCGACATTTTGAAATCTATTGCTTTTATTAAAGTTTTATGGCAACATACAAAATACAGTGCTTTATCAAGATGCTTACAAAAATGAATAAAGATACTTTAACAAGTGCAAAATAAAATTTAAACAATTTTCCATTGAAGATACAGGCTCCAAGGGACTCCTATCCAACTACTTCAGAAAGGAACTCTTTATATGAGCATTGTCCCTTTTTTTAGTAAATAGTTGGAAGAACTGTTACTTAATAACAGAAATAAACCTACCTATGAAGTCTCTGTTGGATTAAAAGAGACCTATGTTGCAGTTTTCACAGAAGACCCTAAGAATACAGTTCTTTGAGTTATCATCCAACTTGAGGAAAAGGAATTGTTAGGTTAAAGATAAGCCAAAGTCCAAGTCAGCAGTATTGCATACATTGTTAGAATACACTTCCTTTTGCAGTTCTTCCCATTTCAGTATTTGCTCTCTCAGCTCAGCCAATTCTATCATGAGCACCTCTGTTTTTGACAAAGTGGTGTCCTGAAACAGAAAACAGTTGGATTTAGTCTCTATACGTCCTGTCAGTCTATCAGCACATAGAAGTAACCTAAAACAACCAAACAGCACTGCATTTTTCACGCTGGAGAAGACAGCTGGCTCGATTCTTTTACAACTCACCATATTGCTCATCATATGTGGTATCTGAGGGATGCTTCTCACAGACTGCAAATGGCTTTCAAGCTTCTCAATAAAAGTCACAGCCTCAGCCAACAACTCTACTATAGACCTGGAACCAAAAATGAGCTCAAAAGTTGTGCTAAACAACAAGAATCTAATAAATTCTTTTTTGTTGCCCCACTTTTCTTAGTCCCCTTTTAGAGCTTTATGCAAGTTCCTAAACATCTAATTAATTTTTCTGCAATTACACTTCTTGTATGACTCTTAGCAACAAGCAGGGCAGGAATTACAGAAGAGAACTCCTCCAGTACCTGGGCTAGATTTTTAGACTGTATGAAGAAGGACTGTGCTTTTAAAACATGCACTATGCCTGTCTGGGAATCAGTCATGTTTAGTTCCAAGCAAGCAACAGTGAAAAGAAGACACCCAGTGCTAAAGTAACAACTCCTGCTTGGGAGAAGCACAACAAATCCAGCATGTAGCACATCTGTTTAAAACAATACATCACAACCTGTTCTGCAGACTTCTAAAGACAAGACCAATAACCTAAGTAAATATTCATAAAATACGCATCACTACATTTCGATGAATTTATTAACGAGTAAACTACCAGCTTTTAGCTGAGGTTTTGCTACCATTTTTTATGCCTATTTTTATCGGTGGAAAATTATTGAAAACATATTATTTTTACTGTCTGTTAGTTCAAATTAACTGGGCCTCTGGCAAACAAGAAAAATTATTTTCTGTGTACCTACTTGTGATAAGTAGCCTCAATAGGCAGGCTTTCTTGACATCTGTGTTTGATCAACCTCTTTCTGAGATGCCTCTTCTCTTTCAGTACGGCTTCCAGGTGTCTCTTCATATCTTGCAAAATCTCACATTTTTTCCCTACAAAATAAAATTAGAACGTTGAACCTATTGTCCTGCTAAAACAAGAGAAAAATTTCTCCTGAAGACAGAAAGGAAAATACTGACCTACTGCAGTGGACAGCTTACATTCAAGAGACATTAATCAGAATGGCTTTTGCTGGAGCACATATGATTTAGTATCAGCACGCACTCAAAGTCACAATACCCCCTTTTTAGAGATAGATACGATTGTTTTACATTATATATAATTTTAAGTAAATTCTCTGTGAGATTAAGTCAACTATACCATAGCACTGAAGTATCACAACAGATTTCACTGGTCTAGCACAACAGTAGCAAGCTAGAATGTTTTTAAGCACACAGAAAATCACAGGGGAAAGAGTGTGCAATAATAAAGAAATCAATGCACGTGCTAAATTAAAAATGTAGTAAGTTTGAGTGGGATCGAGATGCAACAGAAATACACTGAGTTTCTGGAAAAGAAGCAGAGTAGCACATGCAGGTCCACTCTTACTGATGATCTCAGAACTGATTATGCACTGACCCTGGGGAGCTGACTGCACCTCCCACACTGTTTTGGAGAATGAATTACACATGGACCTTCTGTGAGACTGCAGAGTGCAAGCTCAACTAGTATGGAAACATGCTTTAGGTGTTAATAAAACACATACCATCTCTAACAAGTTATTCAGAGATGACTGCTGCAATAACTTCTAGAAGTGTCATGGACTCAGATGAAACATTGATCTGCTGCTAATTTAAGACTCTTGGTTTTTCTACGGTACAACTGTGCTTACCTAAGTAAAAATGGTGAGTAATGTCTGCTGTCTCATTCTCCAACTGCATCATTTCAGTTTTCAGTTTTATCTACAACAGCAATAACATCAAATGAAAATGCGTTTTTAACATACTTATCCAGACACTGTTGACTCTCCTGAGGTGAAGTAAAAAGGGAGAAAGAGGCAGCATAGGGAGAGCATGTGGGTGAAAGAGGGCAAGCATTAGCACAAGAACATGTTGCCCTGCTCTCTGGAGAATTTATACTACTAGGTGGGGTTATTGGCCAATAAGAAAAAGACTGTTTAAAAAGACCAACCTAAATAATTTGGAGATTTGTGCTGGAAAAGACAGATCCTGCAATTCATTCCTAAACCCCAGAACTTATGATAGAATGGCTTGGGTTGAAAGGGCCCTAAAAAATCATCTAGTTCCAAGCTCCTGCCAGTGGGCAGGGATATCACCCACCAGACCAAGTTGCTCAGAGCCCCTCTAACCTGGCCCTGAACACTTTCAGGGATGGGGCATCCACAGTTTCTCTGAGCAACCTGTCCCAGTGTCTCACCACCCTTACAGTAAAGAATTTTTCCATAAAATCTAATCTAATCTAATCCAGTCTAATCTCTTTGATTTTAGTTTAAACCCATTCCCCCTTATCCTAGCATTTTCTGCTCGTGGAAAAAGTCATTCTCCCTCTTTTCTTAAGCCCCCTTTAAGTACTGGATGGCTGATGAACAGTCCCTGCTCTGAGTCTGTTTTGTAGGAGAGGTCCAGCCCTCAGATCATCTTCACGGCTCTCCTCTGGAACTGCTCCAACAGGTTCACTTCTTTCCTGTCCTGAGGATCCCAACCTGGACACAGCACTCCAGGTTGGGTCTCACAAGGGCAGAAGAGGAGAATCCTCTCCATGACCCTGTTGGCCACACTGCTTTTGATGCAGCCTAGGATGTGGTTGGCTTTCTGGGCTGTGACTGCACGTAGCCAGGTCAGTCCAACTTTTCATCCACAAGAAACCACAAGTCCTTCTCCACAGTGCTGCTCCCAATGAGTTCATCTTCCAGTCTGTACTCATGTCTGGGATTGCCCTGACTCAGGTGCACGACCCCACATTTAGTCTTGTTGAGCCCCATGAGGTTCTTGTGAGCTTGCTTCTCAAGCTTGCCCAGTCCCTTTGGATTGCATCCCATCCTTCTGCTGTGTCCAGTGTTCTCCTGCCAATTCCTTAATCACTGAACAGTCCACCCTTCAAACACGTCTCTCCTACTTACATCTCTTACAAAGCAGTTTCATAGCCTACGTAGAGTCTAAACCAACATTACAAAATACACGGCAACAGCCAATTAAAGCCTGTCTGAGGTTACTGCCTGCTAACCAACAAAATTGCCTAGAAGGAGACATGTTTTTGTGTACTGAAGTCATCTACAAGTTCTTCTTTATTGTTCAGTTTCTTGAAAAAATTTCAGGTAACACTTTAGTCAAAGGAGCAGCCTACTGAAACCTACTTACACCTTAAAATTTTGTTTCACAGTTTTGTTTTCTTTATGACATCTCAGTCCACTGGGGGAAAAAAATACCAATTGTTAAAACAGCTGAACTGTTAAAAAACTCCTTAAAACATGAAACAACATGGCATGTGGCAGTCTCATACTTCATCGGGGCCCTGTATTACCTCCAGGTATTGAGTGTACACTGACAATAGTAAAGGCTGTACCTCATTGATTTCAGCTTCCATGTTTACCATTTCTTCCATCTCTGAGAATTTTGCAAAGCATGGCAAAGTTCTTCTGCAAATCAAATCCAAGGTCTCCTTTGAAAGTAAGACAACAGGAAAAATGCAATCAGCTGCAAGAACGTACCGGGCAAATGCTTGTATAGTACAAGCCATAAGGCTCGCAGTAGTTTAAAGCCGTCGTTCTCCCGCGCTCCGCACTGCGGCCCAGTTGAGGAGAGCGGCGCTGTGCCGCTGCCCCGGGCGGTACCTGGCTCACGGCGCCCGCCGCCACGCACCGCTCCAGCAGCGCGGCCGGCGCCGAGCGCTCCCCGGGCTCCGAGGGCCAGGGCGCGCTGGCTCCCTGCTCCTCATCGCTCGACACGCTGAGGCACGAGCTGCGCTCCAGCTCCTCGGTATCGCCATCCAGCTGGGAATCGGAGTCGAACTCGGGCTCGCTCGTCCCGCGGGGCCCGGGGCTGGGGCTGGGCCTGGCCGCCGCCACGAGCGGGCTCCCAGTGTTCCGCAGGGACAGGGAGCGCCTGGGGGCCGCCATGGCGGGCGTGGCATGAACGGCGCTGACACGCGTCCGGTTCCGGGCGGGCGCTGCGGGAGCGGCGGTTCTGGAAGGGCGGAGCGCGGGGGGCGGGCCGGGGCTCCGACGCCGCGGAGCGTCTGCCAGCGGCGCCGGGACAGGTTGGTTGGGCCGGGCCGGACCGGGCCGGGCTGGGCTCGGCGCCTCCCGGCGCTGCGGGGGTCGGGGCCGGAGCAGCCGGGCGGGGTTGGGGCGGGGGGACGCGGCCTGCTGCGGGTCGGGGCTGGCCTCGCCCCTTGCCGGGGCCCGCGGGGCTGGGAGCGCGTCTTTTGTCGCGGCTGCTACGTGCTGTCCGCCGGGCTTTATTCCCCACCGCCCGCGCTAATGCCGAGCCTGTGACCCGTGCGCCCTGGGATTAAACCCCGCTGGGGTTACGGAGGTGGGTGTCGTGTGTCTGCTAGTAGCCACACGTTCGTTCTCTAAACAGAGTAAAGGTCTCAAAAAATCCCCAGATGAAACAGAAGCTGTGTGGGCTGGCCAGCGCTGGTAGATGCCGCGGAAATCACAGCCCGTCTCCGTGGAGAATCTCCTTATGCTTCGGGGCCTCGGAAGAGGGAAAATACAGAAATGTGCAGCTTTCTCACTTAGTTTTAACTGTGCTTGTTGCGTACTTTCAGTAATCACACTGCTGTAAGGAAGACACCTTAATCTAGGTGAACATTTATACTTCCAGGTTTTAGTTATGAGGGAGATGAAAACACAGCGGTGAAATGGTTCATTGTGTCAGGATGCTAGTAGTGTTGGGGACAGTGCACCTAAAATGTTCTTTAATTTGCTTTATCACAGAGACTTTGGATTGCAGTTCTCTAGCACAGAGTAAAACTGGCTGACACCATCACTTGAACTCGTGTGCTTGACAGAGAACTGTTAGGATGGGAAATAGTGCACTAAAAGCCCACCTGGAGACAGCACAGAAAACTGGTGTGTTTCAGCTAACAGGAAAGGGACTCACTGAGGTAATGTACCGGGAGGGGAAACATGGCTGTTTGTGTATATGACTGACACTTTTGGAGAGAAATTCCCGCTTATTGTAATGCACTTGCATACATGTATTTCTTATAAGCAGTCATGAAAAATATTTCAAGGGTTTTTTTTCCATTTTTGCTTGCCTTGTCTTCTGATTGAGGATTTATTTGTTGGGACGCTTGTATGAGCCTATGCTTTACAGTGCAAATATGTTCAAGAAATACTAGCTATGATGTTGTGCTTTTAGAAAATGGCTGTAAACTTGAGGGGGAAAATACGACTTTTATAACCATATTGTAACTTAGAAAGACACTCCACAATTTGTCACATTTAGGTATTTATGCTGTATTTAGTTGTAGCCATATGAATAATCCATACAGGCTGTTCATTGGGCTGGCAGCAAGTTTATTATATTGGAAATTATCTTAATTTAGACTCAACTGCAGAAAAAAACAGAATATCCTGGAACTATAAGTCAAGCAACAATTCACAGGATAGCCAAAAATAACTCTATATTACAGTAACTTTCCAAGCCTTTTCTAACATACCTTCTTCTGCTGTCCTACCTCCTCTCTTCACTGTCTCTCTGTCAAGCCAATGGAGGATCAAAATCACTGGCTTATTGACCAGGACTCCTTGATGGGGATTGTCAGGTTTTCCTTTTATTCACCTGATGCCAAGACTCAGTACCAAAATGGTACAAGATGTAAATGAGAATAAGGAAAATGGTATACATAATTATTTAAAAAGGAAAGCAGGAGAAAAATTTTCACATCATACTCTGCTAAAACATAGAGTTATTAACTGGCTACAGAGTATTTTAAATGATAGGCATGTTTAAGAGAAACACATAAGATAATGAAAATGTAATGTTTTAAATTTTACTTATTTGGATGAAAAGCTACTGCTTCTAGATGTTAGTGTTTTCTTTATACCCCCTTTCCCCTCCCCAGATGAAAAAATATTTTTAAAAATATGTGTTAAACAAATTTGCTAACCACACTGTGGTGATTGGACATTGTGATACATATGACAGTATGTAACAGTGAGACAATTAGAATTTTAACTGTAGAACTTGAACATTCAAATTTGTATCACTCTTTAAATGCTGTATCTTTTTCCCCCCAATAGTTTCCTGAAGATCTGCAGAAGCTAACAAGCAACTTAAGGACAATAGACTTGTCGAACAACAAAATAGAGCTCTTGCCACCTCTCATTGGAAAATTTTCCTTTTTGAAGAGCCTTGCTCTAAACAACAACAAACTGAGTATGCCTGCTAATTAATATCTCCAATGATTTTTAAAATAATAACTAATTTTCTCTATCAAAAACTAAATTTAATTATTTAATTCTCACAAGATGTAAATGCGGAGTTTACTCTCTTAAACTGAAATCTTTGGAATTCATGTACAGGATAAAAACCTCTAAATCATAAGTTCTACAAAACTAGAATATTGCTGCTTAGTGTGTTATCAGTTTTACAATGACACATGAGTACTTAAACCCATAGAGGTTTTATGCTGTGACTTAACCTGACGTGAGGATTTAACAGTGCCAGATGGTTTAGTACTTGCCTAGAGAACAGGTAATGAAGATGATATGTAGAAAGTGCTGCTGGCCATTCAGCTGTTGTTACTGTTTCTGTTAAACAAACATCCATCATTATGGAAAAACCACAATGAGGAAACTAGGGGTTTTATGCCTTAATTATATATTATCTGCCTTTTTGAAAAAATAATTTACCTGATTGACTCTATAGTGCAGCTCAGGAGTGTTAGAGGTTATACACGTGTGTAGGTGTAAAGAGGGATGATGGATGCCAGCAGACCTTACCTGGTGGCGTTTGTATGCTGGTATGACACAGTGTGAATAATCTCCTAACTTCTTTCTATAAGTTGAGTAATACCTTTCAAGGGCAAAGGTGAAGCTGTGAATTTTGTGGTATTTCAAGTGTCGTAGAACATGCTGGCAGAAGGTTAGTAAGGACTATTGACAGGTTAAAATCTTCCAAACGATTCTAAGTGATTTTAGACTGTGATTTGAAGGCTGGCCTTGTCTGCAGATTATTTTTAATACAATTATGGATGATGGTTAAAAAGCACGTGTTGTCTGTGGGCTTCAGTTTCTGTGCAGGGATCTGTGCCTTCACTGGAAATTGGGGAGGAATTCAGTAATGATGGTTAAAAAGCACGTGTTGTCTGTGGGCTTCAGTTTCTGTGCCTTCACTGGAAATTGAGGAGGAATTCAGTCGTGAGAAATTGCTTAATATAGCACTGTTCTCCCTGTAGAAGCTTATTTGAATTAAATGGGTATGAATGTTTACTGCTCTTTAGCTCATATGTTTTTCTGTAATTTTTCTCTAGCTGCTTTACCTGAGGAGCTGTGTAAACTGAAAAAACTGGAAACACTTCACTTGAATGGCAATCACTTGAGGCAGCTACCGGCTGCATTTGGACAACTTTCAGCTCTCAAAACCCTGAGCCTTTCTGGAAACCAGCTTCGGACTGTGCCTACACAGCTCTCTGGTCTTCGCCATTTGGATGTGGTAGATCTTTCAAAAAACCAGATCCAAAATGTCCCCGACACTGTGGGAGAACTGCAGGCTATCGAACTCAATTTGAATCAGAATCAGGTCTGGTAACTGAGATGTTGTGGGAATGTAGGTTTAGGACTTAGTACAGCCGTGGAACATAAGATGAGACCATCAGAACTTTATAGTTAAAAGACATCTCCTGGACACAATGGAAATGAGGAATCATAATTAGATTTTGTGTACATCCAACTGCCTGATTTGATGAACAAAAAAATCCTGATTTTAGTCATGCAGAAAAATATTTGAACAGTTCTTGAGTAGGAATATGATAAAGAGATGTGTAGGTTGCTTGTCATCATGGAATAAAAAAAGTTATTTTGATTTTTTGATAATTTGTAACTTACACATTGCTTTTATGTACTTGCTATTAATGTAGTTTATATTTACAATATGGTAGTTGTTCTGTGTAATTTGGAAACAGATCACTTAATAATTATTGATCGCTACTATTTTAATCCCATTTCTCTTTTCTTTTATTTTCACAAGATTTCTCAGATCTCGGTGCAGATCTCCCACTGTCCACGCCTCAAAGTCTTGCGTTTAGAAGAAAATTGTCTAGAACTCAGCATGCTGCCTCAGAGTATCCTCAGTGATTCCCAGATCTCACTGCTTGCAGTAGAAGGCAACCTCTTTGAAATCAAGAAACTCAGAGAACTGGAAGGTTATGACAAGGTTTGTGTTTTGTTTTGTTTTGTTTTGGGGTTTTTTATCTTTTTTTAAGAAACTCCTGGTGAAGTCCTTACTCAGAATACTAAGCATTTATGCTGGTGAATAAAAGCACCAAATAGTCCGTTGGTGGTGTCGTTGCTACTGGATTCATAACTAACCTCTGAAAACATCTCCAGGAGTTCTTCAAAGATAACTTCCTTGTAGGATTCGGGGTTAGTATTCTTTCATCAGCATCTTTTGAAGGGTAGCTAATAATGACAAGCATGTCTTCACTTTGATGTGACAAAAAATAAAGGATGCTTTGAATTATACAACATAATATTAGTTCATCCCTGACACTGGACCATTAATCTGAATTGCAGCAAATGCCAGTAGCTATGCCCGGCATATAAAAATGTGGCATGCGGAACGTTTTTGAGACTGAGAGCAGAAGCTCAGCTGCTTTTAGCAGTAATGAATCTTCTATTAATTTCTGAAAAAATAATAGGGTTTTTTTTTGTTTTCTTTGTAGTACATGGAACGATTTACAGCTACAAAGAAGAAGTTTGCTTGATCACTGTTCTGACTCTTGTGTTACTAGTAAGAAGACTTAGACTAGAAGCATCTGCTTCACTGACTTGAATCAAGACTGATGAAGGAAATGATCAGAGTACTCCTCTTCTAGTAGTCTGCAACAGCCTGTTAAGACCACGTTGAATAAACTTGAACTAGAGAATATAGGTATTGAACTGATGAACCTACCCAGGGGCCAGTTTTGATTTTTGTGCCACAATAGCTTTTAACACAGTACATGTTCTCCTTTGTCAGGGCTTGTTCTTTCACAGAGAAAGGGAACAAGCATTTCAAAGTTGCCAGTTCCCTTTTGTCAGGAAGCTGGCTGTTGATTTGTAAGAGGATTATTTCTTCTAGAAACATTTTTCCATGATAGCACATAGAAGTTCTACCACCAAAGCACTGTATGTCTTGCAGTAAGCACTGTTCTGCAGAGAACTTTTACAAATAGGGTTTTAGTTTATAACCTAAGTTGATTTTTTTTTAATGAAGCACAAATAGTTGTGGTTAAGTTAAATGTTTTATTAACAGCTTCCAGTAAACAAATTGTGGTTTGAGCATCCCTAATTTATATTTTACTCTACAGGTTTTCTTTTCCCATAAGCAAGAATTGCACTACAGTCCACTTTTGCTTGAGCTGTATCAAATAAAAATTAGGTTCATCTTCTGTGTATTCAGTAAAAATGTATATTGCTAGAAAATATATCCTTGCACTGACTCCTTGTGTACAGAGCAATGCTGGAGGTTTTAGTCGTCAGCCCACTGCTGCTGCCTTATTACCAAAAGCACCTAGAAAGAGCTAAAAATGTATGCAATTATGTAACTTATACTGAAAAGGAAAATGTACTTGTATATTTTAGTAAATTATTTTCAAAAAATGCGTTCAAATTTATTTGGTGTAACTGTTGTCATTTTATTTAGTAGTACTAAGATGTCACTGAAAGCCCTCACTTAGCTACTTGAGTCTGTCAGTTGTTGGTAACAGCTACACTTCCAACATTACACTCATAATTATGATTAGCAATAAGTGATTCTTTTGTGAGATGCTCAGAGAGGTATTTATTTCCCTGACCCTGCTGCCATTTTATTTCAATTCTTACATAGTAATACCTAGAAGAAGAGTGTTCTAGGGAACATCAGCTCCTTTTTCAAAGGATGGATGCGATTCATCATTTAACAGGGAACTGGTTGTACTTTAGACTTCCCATTCCAGCTATTACTTAATAAAAAAACCTACTAGCAGAAGTAGCTGACATATGACCATGTTTATGAGACTACTTTGTTTTGCAAGGCATAACCAGGGAAGTGCTTTAAGAACACTTGTCTTACCATGATGCAAAGCCCTGTATAGTTAGAAATGTATTCAACTTCATACTAATGGATTCCACAGAGTAGAACATGCAAATGGAGTAGTGAATAAAACCTCCACACTTGTTCTAAATTTTAGCTCCTTCTACTTGATACCTAAATCCTATTTGAAGTACTAGCTTTTTTTTTCCTGGAGCTTTGCTGTGCATGAGACATCAACAGAACAAATTAGCAGTTAAGCAGATTTCCCCTTTGCATTCACTAAAGGAGTGGTCTATCATCAATGTGTATGCACTTGGCAATGCTGTGCTGCAGTGGCATTTTGGTTTTACACTTTTTTTAACTGCAAGCATCTGTGTTCAGAAATGCTGCTTCTCTCATTTAACATGTGTTTATCAGGGTTCTGCTATTCAACAACAATGTGTAAGAAGAGACGGTAGAACAGAACGATTGAAAATTATGGAGTTAGCATTGCTATAAAAAAATCTTAAAATTGTGGGCAGAATTTCAGTAAATCAACATGTTCTTTTGTGATCACTAGTACACTTAGTAATCTTTCAGTTACTCATTGTTGGGCTCCTTTGCTGCCTTGGAGTTATGACAGCTAACAGCTTTTTTAGAGCAAAATGGAGAAAGCACCACATAAAATACTGATTGGAACCGAGTTAGTCCTAATTAACTAAACTTGTTCCAGAACAGAGGATAACTTCTGTTGCAAGGAAAAAATAACTGGCTGATGCCTTGCCTGTTTTAACTCACAGCAATGAACTGCAACTAAGTCACATAGGAGAATGCTGTTCTAGGCATTTCAGCACTCTAACCTATTAGTAGTTTTATATTGGGACTTCCTGTTTTCCCTTCTCACCCCCACCCTGCAACAAGTGAAGCCATAAACCAATTTTATTTCCGTGCACAATTACATTTGTAGCTTTTTAATTTTGGAATTACTGAGGTAGAACATTACCCCAGTTAACAATATAAACAACTTATGTATTTTGTTTCAGACCTACATCCCTTGCTCTCTAATTTTCCATTGCAGTAGACACACATTTCATCCATCTATTCCACCAGCATTTAGACACTGCATTGCTTCAGGTGCAGCAAAGGTGAATTAGCAACTGCAGGTCATTGTGTGGTGTGAACAGTGAATTGTTTCACCATATAGCCTTCACAGAGGTGAGTTCTGCAAGTAGCTGTACAAGCAGCATGTGCTGCAGTTCATAGTACAGTTACTGCTCTGCTAAAGAGCTGTCTTTCATCAAGGAGCAGACTAGCTTGAATTTATCAATTGTCTTTAAAGTGTGGAAAGGGAATGAAATCTTGAAAACAGAGGACAGTTGAACAAACACTCGAGGAAAGGGGATATGGTCAATCAAAACTGAAATTGAAAAAATTGAAAATTTGAAATGGAATAACTACAACCAATTTTACTGAGATGAAATTGGGCGTAAGCCAAAATTATTCCCTTTGAAATCTCTAAAATCAGGAAAGAAAGGGAAACAAAGAGACAGAAGGGAAACAGAAGAATTGAGATTGCAGGAAAAAAAAAAACAACCTGACACCCATGGGACATGTGCTGCCTCCTCATAATCGTTACATAAGCAGGCTGTCCCTAGTTTCCTTTCCTAGTTACTGGTAGATATTAGATAATATATTAGAAGTACTTCTTTCAAGCTCTTCCCAGGTATGCTAGTCTCTCTTGCAGCTCAGAACTGTTGCAAGTCAACAAAAGTGTCTAATTCCCCCCATACCTCGTCCCCCTTAAGAGTGTTTTGGGAATCTGAGGTTGTGGTATGAGAGGAAATTGCCTCACAAATGAAATTGCTTTTGCAGTAGGTTAAATCACTTCATTTCATTTATTGGACTAGTTATTTGCTACCAATCTGTTACCAATACTTAACTAGAAAATTTTAAGTTATTCTACTTTGTTCCTTTGTCATCCTCAAGTATACTCCCATGTATGTCATGGTCTTTCAAAGAAGAGATGGACACAGTTCTTAGTCTGCACTTAGGAGATGATTATGCAGGGATCAAAACCAGAGTGTTAAAGACCACAATATTCCTCTCCTCCCAACCACACCTATTCTTTTTATAACACTGGGATTTCTGTGAAATAAAAATAGATGAGGAACTGAGGAACTTCCTAGTTGCATAATAGCAACTAGTTCTGCCAAGTTTTTCAAGGACAGGAAACTAAACAAAGACATTTCTAGAGAAAATAGTTTTAAAACACATTCAGTTATAAAAGTATGTATTTTTTGTGCACAATATATAGTTTAACAATCAAAAGCAGAAACTGTAAACCTTCATTCTTAATAGCATTTAGACATAAAAAGATGTACAAGTGTTGATTTCACACCATAGATATCGAAATTAAGCATCTATTCTATAGACAACAGTAAGACATCCAAGAAGCAAACTGTTTTTGACTAACATAAAGGCACCAACTCCCTCACAGATTTGGCTCTTGCTGTATCAGAAAATAGTATTGATACTCAGATAATACTCAAGAGTCTCAGAAATTATTTTGTGTGGTATTCACTGCAGTATTACACTTTTGATATACCGATCACAGCAAACATGTTCATTTATTGTTAGAGATTAGGCAAGTCAAGGACAAGAACTTGCAACGGCAAGGGAGAAAAACATTCCGACATTTGGAATGTCCAAATGCTACAGAGCAGGCTTGCACTGTGTAAGCAGAATAAGGTAACCACTTCAGTCTTCTGTTCCAGGAGACAATTATAATTAAATAACATATACTTTTGCTTTCACAACTAGCAGCAAATATTCCTTAAAAATCTGAAGTTTTTAAGAAGGAAAAAAGGGCATACAAAGTCTCTATGCAGGTGGCTGTTCAAAGTTTACCATGCAATGTTCTTAAAAGTACTTCTTTGCTACTTGCATTTTTAAGCACATTATCTTAATTTACTTATTGGGTAGCTAGTGAGCTTTTGAAATTCATTAGCATTCCAACAGTAACTGGAAGCTAGAGAGGAGCCAACCCACAGTACTCAAGTATCTAGTCCCTTAAAAATGACTTCACCTTATTCACATGAGGCAAACTGCCACTGGCCTATTTTTACATGCAGCTGCCCCATCCTTTGGTCGGTTGTTTGGGTTTTTTTCGTTTGGTTGGGTTTTTGTTTGGTGGCTTGTTGTGCCTGTGGTTGTTGGTTTTGGTTCTTTTTTCTTTACATATCAAGTTGTCCTGGGACCCAACTGTAAATACACTGATAACACTGACTGTATTTCTACTAAAAAGAAAATAGAACACTTAACAAATGCTGTCCTGCATTTTGGTGGATTAGTGTCATCTCTGACTATGGGATACAATATTAGTGGCTACAGGGCATTTGTGGACTGTCCTTCAAAAAAGCACCCCATAATGCTATTAAGTTTAAATTATTTGTCCAATCAATTTGGTTTGAAGATTTTTGCCATCCAACACTGAGTATCACAGGTTAGTCCAAAGCATCATTTTCAACTTTAAAACAAGCATAGTCTATTGCTGGGTGGATTTAAAATAATCTAAGTCACTTAGAATTTAATTATTATCAAGAATTCAAGAAAATCTTTTTAGATTACAGTAAAACCAAACTATCTTTCTTCACAGGAGAGTGGTTTAACTCACCTGGTCAGAAACTCCTCTATTCTGCAACAGAGTAAGAACATTTTATTTGCAAGCAACTTGGATATGTAATATTTCCAATTGCCAGTCCCAATGTCTGCAATAATAAGCCAGTCAGGAATCTATTTAGAACTAGTTTATTTAGAACTAGCATACAGTTCATAAATAGCTACTGCTTCCTCCAGACTTGTGACAAAGAAGTTTCACAATAAGCTTCTCTGGTTTTGGTAGGTTTTAGAAGCACCCTCAATGTCACTGCTGAGAGCAAACACTGCACCAGACCTCAATCATTATTTTGCACTGGAGAAAGCCATAAACTGAACTCCAGTGAAAACTGGCCAAAAGAGAATAAGATATGGGATGCAAGCAAACTGCATGCTTTTCTACTCAGTTTCTTCCAGTTCAGATGCCTCATTCAAACAATTAAAAGTTAGCTTTTAGATGAGAGGTGTAAAATTTTCCATCAAATAAATACCTCAGGGGGATAAAACTATCTCCCTACTTTATTCCTCTACTTGTGTGCATGGGGCTTAGATCAGATACGTATATACACACAACAAATATTATCAGAACAGTGCAGCATGATTAGTCATGGCCTCCAAACTGATGTCAATTTACAATAAAGAAATGGAAACCTGTATATCCCTCTGGCTACCATTACCTTAAAGTTCATATGGTTAGGAAGTGTTTTAAAGCCCTCAACCCACAAGTTGTAAGTAATGGGCCTCTTCAGTTCTGTGATACACAAATTCAACTCCAAACCAATTGTGGTTTGGATTGTAAAATTATGGTTAGATGCTAGAGACACAAATCAGACAACATTCACCTAGTCCCTATTTTAATGAAGACACTCAACTTATGAGGTATTTCAAACAGTGCAAAGTGCCCTCTCCAACTCTCCACAACTGTGAATTCAGGTTACCCTGCTTGTTCAACTTAAATAAAGGACTGAATTTTCGGTGCAGGGAAAGGAAAAAAAAAAAGAAACTGGGAAGAGGAATCAAACATGCAAGATCATTCTCAAAGCCCTAACACTTTTAGCCCTGAGCAGTTTAAAGAAGATGAAGGCAGATGAGTAGAAGGAAGTTGGCTGCTTTCTTGGAGTCAAGGCCATGTTTACATGAAGCAATAAAAGAAAACTAATCCCTACAGAAGGGGTACTGCTTCATTTGTCCCAGCCCCTCTTATTTCAGAATAGAAGTTTCACAGATCCATGAATATGGTGGCTTGCAGCTGGAGAGGCTGTCATTGAACAATTTAATTTTCAATTAGTTTCTTGGCTCTGATGTTTGCTTGCTCAATGCGTTCCCTGTTTGTATCGGCCTGAAAGAGAGAAATTCATAGGTCATTTGCAGACTCAATGCAAAACAATTTAAAAATTCAAACTGATATGAACTTCTGAATTGCACGGTATCATCATTGTGGTAGAGAGAAGGGGAGGAATCTCTGTACACTGGAGGTAATAGTCAAAACTGGGTCTATGGGCATGAAGTCAGATTTATTTTGCTTAGTGCAAATCCATAGTTTTCATTCACATCCCCTCCAATGGAATAGTGCTGTAACAATTTGGTATTTTAAGCTTTAGATTTTATTGTTGTGTAAAGCATCAAAAGTTGGGTCACAGTATCTAGGTTGAACAAGTGTCAAAACACAGTTTTAGTGAAAGGTATGATAAGGAGTTTATCAGTAATTCCCCAATTATGCAGTGTGCTGTGGAAAATGTGCAGGAAGCGTAAAACGCACAAAACCACCCTCTGCCCTCACAGTGAGTGCAACTCCTAAGAAACTCAACCTGTGCCAAGTACTAGCACAGGTTGATGTGTTAAGTACTGGCCATTTCACACCTTTGTCTTGAAATGGGCTGGGCAGAGCACACTTGCAGTTCAAGTTCTTCCCTCCCATTCCCTCCTTCCTGCCTTTCTGGTCAAGGGGAGTGGAGAGACAAAAACCTACTATAAAAAAGGGAGACTCTAATCTGTTAGCAACACTTTGGAAACACTAATCTAGTTAGTAGATAGTCTAAGAAAAATCCAGTAATGTAAGTTTCATTATGGGTTTCTTCAGACTAGGAGTCCTGCATAATACTACCAAAAGTCACCCAGTCAAGCCTATTTCCCAGGTGAGTAAGAATGCCTAAAAAAAATAGAAGTTAATATTCTGAAGTTAAGCTCTGTTTCTTTGCATGATACTGTTGTTTGGAGATTTACAGATAATATTTGTTTTGGTTTCCATACTGTTCACTACATTTAAGAAGTTATCAGCATAGAAGGATTAATTTAAATATCGTGAGACAAGTTGCCAGTCTCAAAGCCAGGAATTCCACTTTCATTTTTATTCTGGTCTGCAAAGCAATTCCAACTTGTATACACCATATTTTAATAATTAGTAAGACTTGATCAGCAAGATTTATTCAAATCACTAAACCAAAAGAGAATCAGGCCAAAAGAGATGCCTGAATCTACTAGAAACACTATCACTAAAAACAGTAATTCCCATTTGCAGTTTATTCGACCAGGCAGTTTTCAGTCTGCTTTATAAGAATTTCACATCTCATTTTAAACTCCAAGAAATTTTCTAGTACTTCAACCTGTCTGACTTTTTTAACATGGTAATCAGATGTGCAGTTTCAGAGAACAGTTAAGGCATCCTCCATATGATCATATTGATTTGCCTTATCAATACTAAATTACTAGACAAAATTGAGCTGCTGACACAGGTGTAATCAGCATTTTTGTAAAACCAGAGGAATTCTGTTCCTCTTGCTTTTAACCCTACTGCAACATTTCAGTGAGATTTTTTAAAATCCCATTTCGTCTTAATACTAGAATTTCACAGTAATCAGTGTTCACTTCTACTTTTTGAAATCTTTAATATACACTATTCATTAAAGGTTTTTCTTCCTTTCTCAACCAGGATGCCCATAAAATAACTTCTATTTTAGAAATGTCCATATTCTGAAATGAGTAGACTTAGCATTCTCATTAAGCTGCCCTTGGAAAGAAACCTCCCCAAAACATATTTATATATGTTAATCTGTTTGGAGAAGCTAATACTTAATTAATAAAATTATATACAAAAAAGGAAGTTACTATAACTAACTTAATATGCAGACCATTTCCCCGTGCACCTACAAACTCCATTTTTTCCAATGTCTCCCCAGGTCCAATATTACTTTGTCCACAACAATTAAGGCAATGAATAACTTGTGGTTTACTTCACAGTCATTATAGTGACTTTCTAGGAATTCCAGAAGAGCCTTGCTATTGTTAAAAATACCTAATCCCTACCACAAGAAAAAAAATTTCCTGCAAGCAGCAATCCCCCAGGTATACCTCCAGTAAATGTTTGTACTTTTGATCCCATGAAGTTTACTAGTTTTCAGAGTAAGTAGCAATCTGTGCTGTATATTTATATTTCCTGGCACTCAAGCATTTGAATTTTAAGCTATCTACCCTATATGTATCAAGGTGTATCTCTTGTTCATATCACTGCAACCTAGAGAATGGCATAACCTTACCACATATTTTCTGCAAATACAGTGAGCACATTCCTAATAACCTCTGAGTTACAACCTCTGAACTTAGAGCAGAGAATACCTTGGACATTTACCTTTATATTTATCCGGTCTATTTGCTTATTCTGGGCATCAATCTCATTGCCCATATCCAAAGCCATGTTTTTCAAATTCCCAAGAATGTTTCCAACTTGAGCAAGATTTTCATCCATTTCATCTTCTCTGGCATCATTGGTTATCCTGTTCAAATAATTAAGACAATGTTTCAAGAATCAAAAACTTGGTTTTATCTAGCGTAGATTTACTCTAGTGGAACTTGACTGTTCGTTGCACTATGCATTCAAATCAAGGTATGTTTTTCCCTTTTAAAACTCACGGTATTTCAAGCAAGCATTCACCAAAAAAGAGTGCTAAGCTAGCCACTAGTACAAAAATAGCCTTAAATTAGTTACCTGAAGTTTAAGATGTGAGTTTCTCTCAAATATACTTTATGACAGTAATAGACCTTGGTATTTTTAAAAGTCCCCTCAATAACTTAGTACTATGCCTTCTAGTTATCACACCCAGAAACAGACTGACCATACCACCACCATGTAACAAAAAAGAAGTGTAGGATAAGCACTACAATACTGAAGGTATAGGTGTCTGCCATCTCCTCTCCAAGACACAACAATTCCTCCAAACAATAGTAAAATTTTCTATTCAGCAACTTGACCCAAAATGCATTTGAAAGAAGCTGACAACTAGTAACAGTATTTGTGCATTTGAGATTGAGGAATGTGAACTAGCAAACCTTGTAATATATCCACCACTTGGTCCTCCAGGGGTCTGAGGCTGCCGCTGATTTATACTTCTCGGTTGCATGGATATGACATGATCTGCTGAGTTCTCCGTTCCATCTCCCCAGGTTGCTCTGTATGCTTTGCTGGCCTCAAAGTTCTTTGTCCTACTCCACAAAAATAAAAAATCTGAACCACTACACCAGAAATATGGCTTCCTGATTGAAATTCAGTATTAATCTAGAATTTTCAGAAACTTTTGTCTTGTGCCCAAAGAAGATCAAATTTTGTACAGATAAAACCTTGTCTATACAACTCAACTTCTTGTGTCTTGATAGTACAAACACAACTGAGTTACTCTAAGGACATTGATTACTTTGTTCTTTTATTAAAGCTTAAGACCAGTAATTTGCTTAAAGCAATACTTTATCAGAGGACAGAAGCTTATGACAGTCACAGGAAAGCTTACCCTGTCATAACAGAGTTGCACTTATAACACTTCTTTCAGGAAGAAATGAGGATGAATGCAAAAACTCCCTCAAACAAATACCTATACTATGCAAGAAAACCATTAATTGCTACTATTTTTTAATCAAACATTAAAATTTACTTGACAACAGAAGAAGTTAATGTTTCAAATGTTAACTGTGATTATGAATGCAGAGTAATTATGTTTAAGTAATTCTTTCATTCTGCAATTCAATTGTACTAACTCCATTAAATCAATAAGCCAACTTGCCATTATACTTTTTCCACATAAATCATAGGAGAAAAAAAAATAAAGAAAGCACACTGTCACAAAGCAATCTCAAGATTCACAGAGCCACAAAAGCATGAGGGGAAGAAAACCTAGCAAAACAAACTTATCTAAATTGAGGTCTGTTCTCATGAATCCTGAAGAACTTATTTTGAGAATATTCTCATGTTCACCTTGTTTTGTGGCATTTTCAGGTTTAAGCTAGACAATCCAGACACTGCCATTTTTCTGTTTCTTTAGACACCTGTGAAGGGAAATCTGTAATGTCCCAATACACCTAATTTTGCAATCACAGGCAATTTCTAGAGATATGGTGCCTTTCAGTTGTAACCTGGATGTTACATGTTTGAAGAGTTGTGAAATTAGCTGTAATGAACAAATATTCCCCCTCATTCTACTGATGTTTATGTATTCAATATGGGAAATTACATCTCATAGGTCAGATCCTACAAGAAGTCGTAGAAAACTAATACATTGAGGGGAAAAAATAGAATAATTTCTCCATTCATAATGGAAATATTGCACCCAACAAAACCCTGAAGAAACCTAAACCGCTCAATTCTAGCTCCTTGTACATACACAGGCCTAAAGATCGCTACATTTACTGCAACTAGATTGAGCATTATATTTTAATCTCATTTATACTAAAGCCATAACTGGAAGAGATTTTTGTATTATTTGCTTCTGGAGAAGCAAATTCTTAGGTACCAGAGGCAACTGTGAGGACCTTTTTAACAAAAATCAAGTGACCTGAAGACTAGTTGCACCTGTGAAGTAGACATCCAGAAAAAGAATTACTGTTCAAAGTAAGCACAGTTAAGAAAACTTCTCACCACCTGCTTTTAAGAGCTGTTTTGCAAATTACTATACATTCACACTTCTGAAGTTTCATTTCTACAAAACTAAGGCAATTTACACCACCTGTCAAACCAGCAATGGCTCAAGCAGTTGCTCA